TACTTTCGGGAGGAAGCTCTGTCAGTCGGAGGGAGTTCACCGTGCAGTTTAGAAGACGTGTGGTGCACGCTAAACAATCACTGTGGAGATTCATTACAGCGGCGTTATTGTCTAGGAGGGATTCCTTAAGTAAATAAGTTCGTCCGGTGACTGTAATTTCTAGAACATAGAGAACTATTTATTGTCTGGGCGTGACCCCACAGATGTAGATGTGCGCACCGAATTGCGATATCATATTGTGTGTTCTTTTGATTTCTATACTTTTTTTTGCTCGAGCAATAGAACGTAATTAACCCGGATCTTAATTAATTAAACCGTATTTCAGACAGTATTCCAACATCATCTAGAATATCAGACGTAACATCAGATCTATCAAAAATGAAAATCATCCGTTCAAAGTAAGTTGTAACAATCAGCTTCGTTGTAATGGTCCAAACACAAATATTATATTCAAGCATGTAGTACATAATATCACAGTAAAGGAGATACAAAAAGTGAAATGATTTATGTTTGTTTTCAACACAAAAGAGTTTAGAAGTGAACAAAAACCGAAACACAAAATGACATATATCCCATATTAATCCTCTCCACATTATTTCAACTGGGGCTTAGAAGGGCCTGCAAATGTCGATGAATCAGTAGTACTGAAACTCTCAGTGGCGCCAGATGATGCACAAGAGATAGACCTTGTCATAAACGCTTCATGTTCGTCAGGTGAACAATACATTGGCACTGGCAACTTAGATGGCAGGTTTGGCAATGGAACTTCAAAAGTCTAAACATTCATCACTCGCTTTATAGAAGGCCTAGAAGTAGGGTCAGGATGGCAACACCATAACCCAACTATCATCAAACTGACATTTCGGCCTTGTTCATTTCACTAATTTGGGTTTTCAATTTTGAGTTTCTACAGTTAAAAACTCTCAGAAAATGTTATTTTTAACTTTTTCTACTATAATTAAAAGCTCTCAAAAAATGTCACATATTAACTCAAATTAAAAACTCGAATCCGCAAAGCGAACGAGGCCTTGCATATTGCTCATTGAACTACACGCATAACCCCTTGTCAACCGCTTTGAAAAGTTGGCCCTGTCCGTACATTTCCCACACCCATTTTTTCTCACAAGGCTTATATTGCCTGGTTCTTCTTTGTTGGCTACAATTGGCCTTCTTCCACAACAAATTTCTAGGGCAACCATGCCGAAGCTACATATGTCGGTTTCCTTACCCCATTGTGCCAGCCAAAACTGTTGTTGGTAGACCCAATTTGTGGTCCGCAAACCTAGCAAGGCCAAAATCTCCATGCTTAGCATTGAAGTCCGAGTCCAACATGACATCGCTCGCCTTGATATCTCTACGAATCACACATTCTTCCCATTCATCATGGAGGTATAATATTGCAGACGCCAATCCAAGGGCTATGTTGTACCTCACACTCCATGGTAGTAAAACCTTCCCATTAAAGATGTGGGAATCAAGGCTTCCTTTGGTCATGAATTCATAGACAAGAAAGAACTCACCACGTTCATGACACCAACCAATGAGTTTAGCCAATTTCCGGTGCCTTAAAAACCAACTCTAACTGACTCGGGCAAGGAAACACTCTTCAAATTAACGCTCTGAGAAAGAGCCTCTCCCTCACTAGAGTTTGGATCATTGTTATAAGCCTAAAACACACTTTAAAACTCCAGAAGTAGAGTTGTAACTTACTGAAGCTTTGGCCACTCTTCCATCGTTGATGCTGCTATATAATGGGCACGTTGTTTCTGAGACAATGGAGTTGATATTGATTCCCATATGGTCAGAGCTTGGATCCCAAGTATTTCGAAAACTGTCGAACTCCACCGCGACAACGGGATTCGTAGTACTGCTGGAGTGCTTGGTGTGTTCAGGAATAAACGGTCCCAAGTGTCCTCCACTGGAGTCTCGAGGAATGTCCGAGTTGAAAGGAGAAATATTGAAGAAGGAGATTCCGTCTCCGCCGGTTTTGTTGGTTGATGATATGGTGAAGGAGAAGTGAGTGGTGAAGTCCGTGATCCTTCCGGGGTTGGCGTCCAAAAGCGGCACCGGTTTTGCGTGGGAGGCTCGGCCGACGCTGAGAGGTTGGGTCTTTGTGAGGTGAAGAACTCAATTTGAGGAGAAAGCGTCGCCTTGGAAGGTTATCAAATCAGCCGTGGTGTTTGGCTCAAAGGTAGCGAATTCAAAATAAACTGAATAGGCATTTGGGATGAAGGTGGTGATCAAGTTGGCCATTGTAGAGTTTTAATTGCAAGCAATGAAGAGCATATGTTAAATACCATCCAAAAGGGAACTGTTTGTTTGTTTGTTTTTTTTTTCAATAGCTAAATACCATGCAAAAGGGAATTTTTCATATATATATGACAACAAGTTTTATTAATTGTCAAAATTTTTTTTAATCAATTTTCTAATTTATTACGATCGTTGAATTAATATCTTACGGTTAAACAATAATACTCATTTATGAATAAATATTAAAGTAACTATTAAAACTAATATATATATATAATTGAAGGGGGAATATTATAAATACTTTACCAGTTGGATTTCAAGTACTTTCGTAAATAAGTAAAAATTGGTTCATGTCATATTTTGATTGTTTTCATTTGCTTTTTCGTAGGGACATTTCTTATCATTTTTTGTAATTTCTTTTTCTTTTTTGTTAGCAAGTGGCTGGGTTTCTAACTTATTTCATATTTTGTTGTCTTTTTTTTTTTTTTAATAAATATGGGTAGACGATTTACTTCTCTCCCCATTTATTAAAAAAAATATATCAAATTACATTTGAAATCAAATCAAACTAAAAATGACGAAAAGTTAACAGGCGTTGTTGAAAATATAACGTTTTTTTTTAATAGCTAGCCTGCTAAAGAATTCTAATAATTAAACAGTTAAAAGAAGTTTATTTTGCTGTAGAATAATGAGTCAGAGACTTCTTAAAGCCGTCTAAACCAGAGTTGTTAAGTGTCTTCGTCGTTATGCGTTGTTGGAATTATTCAATATGATTGAGCATTTCAGCTTGCTTCAACAAACTACTTTCAAGTTACTTGAGAAAGTCTTTTCTTAAAAACCCGAATTTAACACTTCTAATGAGTTCTGTTAGCATCGAGGAAGAAATTAAGCAATATGATCATGTTGAAGAGAGTAACTGTTTTGATTTTCCCTTTTTTTTTTAATTAGAAAATTTTCAATATAGTGACGATGTCTGCTGTGAGAATATTAAAAGGATGATGGTCATCTCAGAGAAAAACATATAGTATGAATTTAAAATTACTTTTTTTTTAATTTTGACGTCTAAAAAAATGTCTAACTAATTAAATCATATCACGTCATTTTAAAAAAAAAATCTTTAAAGTATTTCAATATTTGAGTCCACTTGATGACATAACAAAATATGCTTGATTATACATTATCTGTTTGCACAAAAAATTAGAGACACTTGATCTGAATCCTTCACATATCTATGCTTTTGATGTTAATATGAGCCTTGCCTTTTTTTTTTCTTTTTTTTTTAGGTCTGCATCAACATGAGTAGGTGGAGTTATATATTAATATGAGCTGTTAATTTTCACAATATATTAATGACTTACAGACCAAATACGTACTCTTTCCTATATATCCCTACAAGACGTACCTTGATCACGTATATGTTTACTCAACTGCAATAATATCATGGAAGCTATCATTGACTCTACGATGATACTAAAATAGGATATGATAAAGGCATCACAACGAACAAACACAGTCAATGAAAAAAGATTTATTCATCTTCCCTAATTCTTTTTTTTTTCTTACGACACAACAATAAATTTGAATTTTTAGATTTTTTTGAACAAATTGTCGATTTGCATTTGAATTTAGATTGGAATTTTATTTTGATTCAATTGAAGAAAAACAAGCATATGTATTTTTAATTCTAAGACCAGTAGTTCTAGGAGTTGATTCGCTTCTTTCAAACTGTTTTTTATTATTAAGAAAGGATAACAAACATAAAATAAGAGCTTATTTTATAGCAATAGTAATTAATCGTTGTTGTTTTAAGGTTAATCTATTTACCGTCTAGATAATATCTTCCCTTGTTCACTAATAAATTAACTAATTAAAATTATGTTTCTATAATCAATTTGATCCCCGATTGTATCGAGGGCAAACGCTTACGAAAAGATCGCTTAGATTTAAGAAAAAGTTGCTTGGTGTACCAAATCACATAACTATGATTTATGAATTAAAAAACCCAATTACCCGTGTTATATTAATTTGTTGTCTTATTAGGTTTTGGATTTATCACACAACTATAGTTAAAGCAAAAATTTATCGAGCATGTCATGTGTTTAATAAGAAATTTATTTTAATTAACATGAAATTTTGAACTAATACAATTAAGATGTGAGAAATGTCCTTCCGAAAGATGGTAGAACTAGCCTGTTTTTATTTTTATTTTCCAATTCTTCTCAACTGCTATCGTGATTTTTGATTTGAACTTTACTCGTTTCATGATGACTTCCAGAAAGTCTCATAATATGTGAGGGAATAATCTATCACCTCATGATTTCTGAGATTTGTGTCCCCTTTTTTAGACAGAAAATACTAGCGTCACTTTTTGTGTCACTTTCTTTGTCATTTTCCGCACTAGTTTGGCACGTGGACTCCACTATCTCATTTTCTGTTTAAATAATAATATATCATCTTAACAGAGTACATGTGTCAAACAGGGAATAGATAAAGTAACGAAGAGAGTGATAGAAAGAGTGACGCTCGAATAGATAAAGTAACAAAGAGAGTAATAGGAAGAGTGATGTCAGTATTTCTCCTTTTTTAGCACTTTTATAATGGTTCTAAAAATTGCTAATTCGTTTAAAGTACTTATGTGAAAATGGGTCTTTCATGTAACTGTATATTACTCAAACGAAAAAAAAAAAAAAAAAAAAAAAAAAAAAAAAAAAAAAAAAAAACACACACACAACTTTGATAGTTATTCTTTGTTAAGCATCAGTATACCACTTTTTGTAGTAAGCTATTTTGGTTGATTTAGCTGAGTAATGTTGTGTAGCAGTTTTTCCCTAAAAGAAAAAAATAATAATAACCATTCTACAAAAGCCTACATATTGGGATAATAACAATAAGAATAAATTTTATTTTTATCCCCGAACGTTAGTCACGTTTTATCAAGTGGATTTTCACCTTTAGAGAATCATTGCTCTTTTTATATAAAAGGCTAGTGTCTTTTCACACAGCTAATTAGGTTTGCCAAATTAAATTTGACATAATATTCCATGGACCTTGTATAATTAGAAAAATAAAATGACAATATCAACATATATATTAGAAAACACCAAGGCAGTGGATTCACACATTTGGATTAAATTGCACAGGAAAGTTTTTGTCATTATCCCATATAAACAAAAGATTACAGAAGATATATAAAATGGCGAATATCATAGTAATATTGATTTATTTTATTTTCCATGACAGCCTGGAGGCTGATATTCTTTCAACTTTTCACACCAGCACTACTAGAATACACTTATCAAAGACACAAAATAGGCATATTTGTGAAGCGTTGAGACGTTTGGTTCATGCATTAAAATCATGTGATTTGAACCATTTTCGATTTACGTGTATTTTTTGTGAGAGAAAATACTATAACGAACCATGAATCATGATTCAAATCATAGTTTGAATCCTCTAACCAAACATCCCGCAGGATAAAGGCGAATAGGGAGTCCTCTTTCTGGAGCTAAAGTCGGATCCCTTATGAGTTTCTCATCAGGAAATACCTTTTCCCATTTGAAATTCTTCACCACATTGTGTATGAAAACTAGTAGAATCTTCACTCGAGCATACTCATTTCCGGGGCACATTCGTGGCCCTCCTCCAAATGGAACATACGAGAACGGAACTGGTCCATTTCCTTCAAATCTTGATGGTTCAAATTTTTCTGGCTCGGGAAAGAATTCAGGATTTCTGTGTGTGGCAAAAACGTTCCAGTGTAACTGGTTTAGGCAATTAATTAGTTTATATACAATTGAAGTGATATAATATACATAAATATACATATAACATGATATTTATTCATCGTAATGTTGATGTTGCAAAGAAATAACAACATATTACCATGATTAGATAGCTTGGAATTACCTTGAATCCTTTTGGAATAAAAAAACCTTCATACATGAAGTCCGTAATGGCCACCCTGAAAGCGCCTGGACTGGGTGGTGACAACCTCAACACTTCGCACACCACATTCCATGAATATCTCATTTTTTGTATGTCTTCCCAATTCAGCAACTCTCCGGATGCTTTTTCATTTGCAATCTTCATTTGCTCTATATCACCCGTGAATTATTGTAGCAGCATCAGAAAGTTCTTATTTGTGAAAAATTTATTAAATAAAAAAAATGCAATTATTTTAAGTAATTTATGTACATAATTAATTATAGCAGGTAAGAGAGACTGATTGCTTAATTTTAAGGAGAAATTGAAAGAAGAGACAGAAATAGTAAAAGTACTTGACATATGGATAGAACTATTAAGAACTAATAAATGTGAATTCAAATGTAAATGTATTCGAAAAAATATAAGTTCATGTTTCATCGCAGTAATATTTTCCACTAAAATAATTACTATCTGTACAACAACAACCGGAGCCAACTTAGTGTTTGGGAGATTTTCATTCTCATTCTAGGATCGTGTCACGTGTCAATGGTTCGTATCGAAACCAAGACCCTGAGAAAAAGTCCAAGGGAAAGGCTGCAAAGGATAGAACGAGCTAATCAATGCCCACCTCATGTCGAGGGAAAGTATGGACCTCGATCGAGGTCCCAGACTGATGTTGCCAGAGAACTTCGATGGACCAAGATAGCCCGAGGTCGAGGAAGAGGTGGGAATGACAAGTGCGAGGGAAAAGACCATCCCAAAGCCAAGGCACACATTCCCCCTCCTCCAAGACTAACACAAAGAATGAAGATATGACACGAGTAAAGTGAATAACAGAATTGAAAGGGACATCCAGATTGTGAAATTTTATGGGACCTTCTAAAGGAGTAATGTCCTAAGAAAACTCTAATTCTCAAGGAGTGGTGGCATGTCATAATTAGAGGAAATAAAAAATATTAATCTAATCAAGACACTCACTGTATAAATAAAATGTGATGCATTTAGTACATAGCCCTCTCTTGTGCTTTTAAGAATTCTAAAAAGCTTTTTAATTCTTCTGTCCTTTCATTCTTGAATGTTTGCCGGACTTGAGTTACAATGTGTCTTTTATAAGACAACCCCTGACACCACCAGATGACTGAGCGACTAGAAGAAAGAGCATAAGGTGGTTGATCAACTCCTAAAAGTCAATGTATGGGAAACTGCACAAATACTTAGGCTTCGTTTGGTATGAGGATTCAAACCATGGTGATTCTAATTTTGATTTTGAAACCAAAAGCATGATTCATGATTTTGGATCTAAATCATGGTTTTGAAACCATAACCAGAATCAAGGATTTGAACCACCTAAAATCAAGGGAAGGGGTGGTTTTAAAATTAGGGGTGATTCTGGTTTAAAACATCACATCAGGGTTTAAACTTTGAATCAAATCCATCCAAACCAAATACTAATTTTGAGTGAGTGAAATCAAAACCACTTTTTACTTTTTGTAAATAAACACTGGTTTGAACCAGAATCATGATTCTGGGTTCTAGAACCCTTACGCTTCGTTTGGTATGAGAGTTCAAATCAGAGTGATTCTAATTTTGATTTTGAAACCAGAACCATAATTCATGATTTTGGGTCCAAATTATAGTTCTGAAACTAGAACCAAAATCAGGAGTTTGAACCACCTAAAACCAAGGGGAAAGGGGGGATTTAGAATCAATGGTGATTTTGATTTAAAAGATCACATCAAGATTTAAATTTTGAATCATAATCATCCAAATCAAACACTGATTCTGAGTAAGTCAAATCAGAACTACTTTTTACTTTTTGTAAATAAACATTAATTTAAACCAAAATCATGGTTCCGAGTTCTAAAATCCTTATAACAAACATACTCTTATATCAAACGTGCTCTTAGGTCCCTTCCTAGTCCCAGACTCTAATCATCATTTGAAAATGTAGAGGAATATTACCCCTTCCATGGTGATACTACACCTTTTTTTTAAAAGACTATAAATTTTCTGCCCTCACTTTCACCCATAGTAAATTAGCTCAAGAAAAGCAAGATTCTAAGGGAAGGCAAAAAGCTAAAGAAGTGAATTAATAAAACGATTGATTGTTTAAATTCTCTCTTTTAATTAGTTTTCCCCTAATTCATATTTCATCCCCCCTCTTTCTTTTGGCTCCTAAAATTAACTAATTTCGAAGTTAACACAGAACTTTAATTTTCAAAAACAAAACAAATCCAAATAACTATAAAATTTATAAAAAAAACTAAAAATACAAAAAGGATATTACTGTATCATCAAGAGAAAACAAGATGTTACAAAAATTACGTATCATCAGTTTTATAATTTTAATTTAACTTGTACTTTTAAAAAAGAAGGTTTGCTAGAATTCTCGCTAAAAAAAAAGGGTTTGTTAATTATCGTTCTATAATAAATAGACCACGTCTATAATAGATAAAAAAAGGTATTCCTCGATTATATTATTCTTTATTTTAAGAGTTAAATTCATCAAAAGCTCTTAAACTTTCTTCTCTTTGTACAATTAGTCCCTATATTGAAAATTGTACCAACTTAAACCTTGAAGTTCTCTTTGAACGTCTCAAATTCAGTCCCTCAATTAATATTGTGTTAAATATTGGATGCAAAAACGTTAAAATATTGATAGTACTTAAGATATAAATAAACTAGTATATACAATTTGCCGTTATTTCTTGGAAAAAGGTACATTAAAAAGTACTCAATAAATTTATAAAAAAGTTCATACATCTAAATTAGTCAATAATAAACAAAATTAATGAAAAGATTTATATAATGCATGATAAATTATGATATATGTCTATATATACACGGTATACTCAAACTCAAATAATTGATTCTGCTACAGTATTTTTCTCTCTAAAAAAAATTTGAATTTCAAATCTCAGAATCAAGAATCATATATAGTTTGAGTGTGTCTTTCAATTACGGGCCTTAATGTGTATTGATTTAAGAAATTAAAGTAGATTTAATATTGAGTAGGAATTCAATGTAGAATAGATTACGCCTTAGAAGACAAGTTTTTTTTTTTTTTTTTTTAAATAAATAATCTCGATTTTAATTATCTCCTGTCTCTCCACTATTAAAAAACAAGTTTAAAGCATATCCCCTAAGAAAAACTCCGACCTTGTCCCGTTTCTCAACTGCTAAATAGGTCTATCGTGACAACGTGAAAATAGTTGACTACATGCATTTATTTATTTTTCAAACAAGAAAAGGAATAAAGAAAATACATATAAACCTGGTAATTCTCTTTATCACTCGAATCAGAATCTTTTATACATCATCTTATATTAAGAAAAAAATTAGTTCAAATCATGGAAACTTTGATTATTTTATTATTTACCTTTAAAGACTTTGTCATAGACTTCAGGCAACTCTGCTAGAAACGACATGATGCAAACCAACGTAGTGCTTACAGTGTCGTGGGCACCAACCAGCAAACCTACCAGCACTTTGGCAATACCTGAGTCGTTTATCGGTTCGCCATCGTCGTAGGTTTCTACCAGCAAATCCGACACTATGTCGTTTGCGCGACTCCCGTTGCTCTCCAGAAGATCAATCCTCCTTTGCGCAACTATTTTCTCTATCTCTTTCTTGATTTTCTTTGATGAAGTTATTGCTCGGTTAAACTTTGTTCCTGGGATATTTATGGGCGACGAAGCTAGCCCAGAACTAATCTGACCAACCGGGCCCTCAAGTTTCGCAATTATTTCCAGGTCTTCAATGTTTAAAAACAACGTACATACCAAAGAAAAAGCGTACTTTTTCGCTAGGGCGTGAACTTTGATAACTTCTTTGCCATCCCAATAGGTCTTTGTGTGCTCTATCGTCGACAGATCCATAATCCCGACGTACTTTCTTAGCGAATTCGGTTTCAGAAGCGGAAAAAGTAGCTTCTTCATTCTAGCAGACTCGTCACTTACGGTTGTTTTCTCCGAGATGTCAAATATTGTTTTGAAGTTTTTAGGCCACCACGACTTGACAAGCTTGTTCTCGTTGGCAAAAATGAATTTGTTTCCTTGTGGGGTGGGCAAGAACACCATCGTTTCGCCGAGCAACGATGTCTTGAAGACGTCGGAGGAGTATTTGTTCCTCCGATCCATTGTAAACTTTTCGGGGACACCATTCTTTGCGGTCTTAAGATAATCTAGGGTTTCACCAACTATCGGCCAACCAGAACTTCCCGGTGGGAGATGATAGAGGTTTTGTTCTGCGATCTTATTGCGATTCGAAATGATGTTGAAGGTTAAGAAAACATAGTAAAGAGTGACAAAGATGAGAGAGAAAGAAAGGATCAAGAATTCCATTGTCTTTGTTACTTGGAACTCATCAGAAGCTTGGTGAAGAACTACGTATAGCATGTGTACTTAATTTATAGAAATAACTTGTTATAACTGGTACTAGTAGTACTGTGATTCTGGTGGTTGTGCACGTGCGAGGACAGTTAATTCCCTATTCTCTTTCCACGTTTTATTGTCTTTATTTGGTGCCTTAAATTCCAATTTCGTGCTACGCAATGACTAGTTCTGATACTTCTCTCGCTCTATGTGTGTGTGTGTGTGTTTGTTAGCGTGAAAATGAAAAATGGGAAAGACTTGACTTAGGGAGCTCGTGTTGTGAATCCCTTCCTAATTTTCTTCTGGCACCCTCGATGTCACATTTCGTGTGATGGGGATTTACTTCACATTTATGAGTTAGTTTCATAATTCATTTGTGTGATAAAGAAACAGGACAACTTTGACACGCAAAAAAGATTATAACAATTCACATATACTTGATGTAGTGTTCCAACTGAATTAATTTAAGATAATTGTTTTCTTTCATCTTTGTTTTACATGGGCAGCAATGAAATTAATCTTACAAGAAGAAATGGGCTAATTCCTGTTTTGATGATTTAGTTGTATCAGCATCAAAAGTGGAATGATAAAAAAATTAAAAAAAAAAATACATCAAACTATCTTAGGAAAATTCAACTTATACTGTAATGATCATATTACATTTTTTTTCCTTACAAATATAATAGAATCTAAATGAAAATCTAATAGTTTAGAAATACTCATCGCACATATTATTATTATTATTATTATTATTATTATTATTATTATTATTATTATTATTATTAATTGACAAAAATGGTCCCTAAGTATGATTTTCTTAATCAAGAGAAATGCCAGAGCTCAACAAATTTTCAACTCAAAACTTCATGAATCGAGTGAGTGAAAGCACGTGAAACCCTTAAAACAAAAATGCCATTTTTTATATTTTTGAGATGCACATAAAGTTAACCTTACATTGATTGTGGTAGATTTAAATCATATCATAAAATTTACAAAGGCATTAAACTTAGTAGGTTGAGATTGTGTTGAAAACTGCCACTTCGTCCTTTCATCCACCCTCCTCCCTGTCTCTTTTCCTCTTAATTAACTAGCTGAACGTGCCACTTACGTAAGTATGTTGCTTATTTGGACATGCAAATTTAAAATTTATTTTAAAATTTTAGTTTATTTTTTGTGAATTATTATTCTCATAATAGTTTAGTTTTAACAAAAGCAAACTATTAGAACACTTTTAAAAGAAAAAAAGTTTCTAGTAGGATAAATTAGATAGCAAATTACTTACTATACGGACATATGAAAAAACAAATTATTAATGAGGGTTACATGAAAATGTTTTTAGAGAAAAAAGTTTTTAGATAGGGGATACATTTGGAAAGAATTTATTTCAGCGGGGTAGTTAGCAAATAAATTTATTTCAAAAAAGTCTTAACAACAAAAAAATGATTAGAAAATCACATATTTGGGAACATTATTTAAATAGAACCATGTTAGGGGGAAAATTTTTTTATTAAGGCACATTTAGAAAACAAAAGATTTGAAAATAAACAAAAAAAAAACAAAACAAAACAAAACAAAAGGATCAAATTGCCCATATGAATCAAAACATACGTTTTGGTCAAATATGTGTGTGAAAACAAAATTGAGTAAGGATACATGCGAGACAAATTTTATAACAATATAATTAAATAACATGTTTGGTATTTAGGAGTCAAATAATAGTACATGAAGGCAAAAAAAAAAAACATATGTAAGTAGAAACATATTTGAGAACAATTATTTCAGTGGGGCAATTAGAAAAAAAAAATTATGAGGATTACTTTTGAGAAAAAAATTATAAGTGTCATACAAAAAAAATAATAATTATAAGTAGGACAAGTTTTAGGGAAAATATTTTGATAGTATCCAATAAGGCAAGTGCATTTATTGAGTCATGATAAAAATATTATGCATTTTTTATAAAGAAATGAGCGAAACATTTGGTATGTTTCGTCCTGTCTCTAGTTTAAAAACTTAGTGAGTGTGCAAAAATTATTGTATAAAAAATAAAAAATAAAAAATAAGAAACCATACTTACGAAATGAAATTATTGTCTGCGAGTCATACCTGCCCCATTAGGGGCGGGGCAGGGCACCCGGTTGACATCCCTAGGTGGTATAGTTACATTTAAGCCTTTAAGGATGCCCTTTTTTCAGCTATATACAAGATTGAAAGTAACGTTTTCATCCATGGTTTATCATAGCAAGTACGAGATTAGTGATGATTACTTACATACTTGTGATCATCTTTTCCACGCTAAGAAGAGTAATAATAATAAAACCGTTCCCTTCTTCTCAATACTTCTTTCTTTCTTTCTTTTTTTTTTTTTTTTTTTTTTTTGCGCTAAGAAATACAAATAAATAAATATCAAATTAATTTTAATGACACTCATAGTCCAATATACAATAATTATTTTCCCCTAAACTCAATATTAATACTTTTCTAGTAATATATTTTAGCAAAATTAAACTACTAGTTCAAAAGTTGGGATTAGCAGAGTTGGTGAGCCCGTAGCATTATTCTAATAACTTCATATTGATGCTTTGCATTCTTGGCTCTAGTTTGCAAATCACAGTGAGAATTGCTGTGCCCAAGATAGCATCGATCAGACTAGAAGTGCTCTCTCCTTCGTTTTTGAATGTTTTTTTTTTTTTTTTTTTTTTTTTTTTTTTTTTTAAATTTTGAGGGAGGAGATAACTGATATCAAAGCTTTCAATACATCCCAACTAGATTGGCACCCATTTAAAAGGCTCATCCTATATCAAGCCTCCAACTCAATATTATTAATAAAAAGAAGCAAAAATACAACAGAATCGATACAAAACTGAAGTGGAAAATAAAAGCAAACAAGGCAAAGGAAAACAAACGAAAATACAAAAGCCGGAGGTTAATAGCAAACAATTTAGCCTAAACTCGCATGTTGAGAACAAACCCCCCCAATTATGCCTCGTTAAAAACTCTCTAGCCAAAACTCAATGGGAAAAAGATCTAAAGGGAAGAAGAGTACATAATTACTACAAACAGTCGGCTTAACAAATGATGAAAGCAAAAACTAATCATAAAAACGATACGTGGAAAAATCGACCATGTCTTTAGCCATACCCGCCATGCAGAAACCTGGAACTGTAACCCACCATGTTTCATCTTCAAAGCGAACAGCATTAGTAGCAAGCCTGTCTGCCACATGATTCCCTTCCCTGAAGATATGAGAAACACAGTACATCTTGCTATTGAGAAATTGAATATCCCGCTTCCACCTAGCTAAACACTGCCAAGGGATATGAAGACTTCTGGTTTTGAGCAGATTGATAACATACAAAGAATCACACTCGAATCAAAGACGATCCCAATCTTATTTTTGGGCATAATGAACTGCAGTAATTACCCTTGTCAGCTCAGCTTCATAAGCATATAAAATGCCCAGAGGCTTGGCAAAGCACCCCTTACAAAAGCCCCAATAAGTTTTGAAAATATCACCACAACCCGCAAGCCCTGGCGATTCATTCGCAGCACCATCAGTATTAATTTTAATCCAACCAAGAATGGGAAGAGACCATTGCACTTCAACAATTTGAGGCGCCTTAGAGACTCTATTTGGAACATTGAAAGTTTTGAGAATCATTAAATCAGTAACAGTGGTTTCCATAGTCCCAGAATCAAGATTATCTGCTTCTTGAATACAATGCCAAAGGAGCAGAAGGACTTGTTGTAGCCAAAAAGATGCATCATCGCAAATAATCTGATTACGCTTCTTCGAAATAAGCCAGAAAACTGGGATTACTTCTGCGATCCATAAACTTTTCACCTGTTTACTCATCCTTACCTTGAAAGTAGAGTCAAACTGATGACGAATGCTATCCTTATTGAGACGAGCATGGAAAGTACTGTCTAACTTATCCCAAACACTGTTAACAAAACGACATTCAATGTGTTCGACAGATTCCTCCTCTGACCGACAAAATCTGCAGCAGGAAGGGAGATGAAAACCAATCTTTTTGAGGTTATTATCGGTCGCTAGACGAGCGTGAACTGCTTTCCAGACTGTAATTGATCTTCTGGGTGCATTGAGGTACGCCAAATCTTATCACCCCATGTCCACTCCTCTCTACATGGCCGTATAAAGTTATAGTCCCGGATTCTGGGAACTCCTTACGGGCAATGTTTCCAGCATAAAACATCCTCTCCTGTCGAAATAGGAACCTCAACAATGGCCTTGGCTACATTGTTCAGAAAAAGAAACTGATTCATGCATTGATATTTTACTAAATGTTTATGTGAGAAAAATGTTGTACTTATTGAGCTAAGTTTCACGTTGCAGATAAACCTAAAACTAGACGGGCGTGTGACGAGCGAGATTGTGGGAGATGGGATACCACATGCATATTTATTTTCCGTTGAACGTTAAGAGTTTATTTAAGAGTTAATTTTAATATTAATATGTTACTATCAAGTTTATGGATTTTTATGATAAAGACTAAGTGATTGGATTTCAATTATTTTTAGATTATTTGATTTTGAATAAGTTGAATAAAAAAATGAAAATAATGATTTTTTTTTTGTTTCCGGATTGGACAGGTCCGGTTAACCGGACATATACCTCCGATTAACCAGTGACCGAAAAAAATATATTTCAGGCTTTCAAATATGTAATATATTATTTAATTATTTCAAATTCGTTTTATATTCCCCTAAAATGATGCTTAATTGAAAGGTTTCACAATTAACTATAACGGTCCGTAAGGGGGTCATTACAAATCGTTCACTAGGTATATTCATAAATTAATTTGATTAATTTATGAGCTTATAAATTAATATATTTTATAGACTGTTTCAAAAATTTTATGAAATTTTTTTTATACACAATCGGCACCTATTCGCTTGCGCATCCGAAATCGTTTCAGAAACTAACAGAATGACAGTCTCAGACTTCAATTTGCTTATCATATATTCAATAAATATGAATATAAAGAGGATAATACAAATATATAGGAAATCAAATATTTATTGATATTAAATTGTGATGAAGGCATTGTTACATTTCTTCCTCAAGGCATAAACTTTAACAATATTAACATTCATGGCTACTCACTTCATCATGTCTCTAAGATATAAGGAATGAAATTTAACTATCTAAAAATCCATACTGAGTAAGTCAAAAGACACGAATCTACAAATAGGAATTTTTAATAACTCGGGATTAAGATCATTATATATATTACCATTGATAGACTCACTTAGAATTTATATCTTAAAAGAAATTATAATAAATTCATATTGTGTTTTGTCTTAGTCCAACATAATCTCATTATATAAAATATACTCATTCGATATCCCTCCATATAAACGATTTGGAAGTGGATAAGCTCGTTTTATTCTTAAAGAGAATGACATGTATTAATAATGTCTTAATTAAATATTCCAAACTTTAATATTAAACTGACTTATTTTGATTATTATCATTAAATATTATCCTCTAGTATATGGCAATTATATACAATATTTAAGATCACATAAATAATTATGAAATTTTCAATGATACTCATAAAATATGCACATAAAGTAATGAAAATTTTCTTTTATCCTTTTATCACTTCTCATGCCTTTAGGACATCGTTCCTAACAGATAGATCGTCACGAGTTGCTATCAATTGAGGAACCGAGATTGGCTCGTGCATCTGTGTGCGCGATGGACACCCTCAAGACTCATTCGAAGTCACATTTTTTCAAAGTATAAGATGAGGTTGTTGACCTTCTCAAGGTAAGCTGTCATTTTAAGTTCTTTTGTTATGTAATTATCTTTTATCTGGTTGAAAACCAGTTGTAATTAGTAGCTTATCCCCTTCAGTCGCTTGGCTTCGAGCGTTTTGGCCAGTCGTAAGCCGGCCACAAACTTCCAGTCGCATATCAGGCTTTTGTTGTCGAGTGCGACTGTTACTTCCAGTGTTATTTCTCCCACAAAATCTGCAAGAACTTGTGATGTGTGATAACCCAAACATTTTTTCTTTAGTCAATCTTTTTTTTCCCAACTATGGTCCTCGTAAATGTTTTTTTTCCTAATTGCTCTCCTCAAATAATACTTCCTGCCTAAACATTTATGTCATACAAAGCTCTCAAGTACCTTTTTTTATATGCACCTTTTAAAAAATTTATTTTTTAATTTTTTCTATGAAAAACTTTCTCTCTTCTAAATGAGCTTTATTAAACTTTTCTTTAGCTAAACATAACTATTTGCAAAATAATAAAGGGAGAATGAAGTAAATAGCATATTACAACAAATAATTAAAGAAAATAGTAAGTTTTAAAACTATTGAAGTAAATAGTAGTAAATTAAAAATTTATGTTGTAAAAATATCTTTTTACCACTTAAATCCAGTCAATAAAAAATTTATGAGATAAAAAATCTTTTTACTGGCATTTACTTCAAATCTTTTAAAATGTACTATATATTTACTTAATTTAGTTTCAAAAAACTATTTTTTACTACCATTTCTAAATAATCTAAATAGATAGAGCTAAATTTTAAGAGAAATTTTAAATTTTCATATAAAAAAAAAAAAACTACAGGAAATGCACGCATGAGGCGGTGCTTCTAATTAGTGAGTGTATTACAACCAGCTGTTTGAGTCCGCTCATACACGCATACATATAAAGTCTGAATATAGACAAACTAATGACAAGTTACCACCAAATTTTAAAAATAAAAATAAAAAGGGTAATAAAAAGATAATTAATCACATATAAAATAACTTTTCCATGACTCTTCCTAATGAGCATGAGTTAAAAAAAAATAAAAAATAAAAAATAAAAACTTAAATTCATTTAAAAAACAACCAAAAATTGTTTATTTCCAATGCACAGAAAATTTTAAATAACTTGTGAAGAGACAAGAGGCTTGTGGGATAAAATGCGCCTAGCCTTGAAGTTTTTTTGAAAGCAAAGTCACAAAGATAGAAACAACAATATTTTTCTATGGACAACAACACGAGGAATACCATTCTAGCGATGACAATTATGTCAAATATGATTATTATCTTAGGCATTTTGAATGAGAATCTCTCTTTAATCCCCACATTTATTTCTTTTTTATCATCTGATTCCTCTAATTTGATTATTTCACTCTCTGGATATAAAAAGCAAACGCATCCGGAACCTCTAAGGGTTCGTTTAGTATGATGATTCAAATCAGAGTGATTCTAATCATGAGTCTGGAACTAGAACCATGATTCATGATTTTAAGTTCAAATTATGATTCTGCAACCATGATTCAGAATCAGGGGTTTGAATCACCTTGAATCAAGAGGGGAGTGATTTTAAAATCATGAGTGATTCTGGTTTAAAACATCACATCAGATTCCGAATCATGATTCAGAATCATACTAAACACTAATTCTGAATCATGATTCTGAATCACTGTAAACAAACACTGATTCTGAATCAGAATCCAGAATCATAGTCCTAGATCCATCTACCAAACGCCTCCTAGAAAAAAAGGCCAATGTAATATGTGAGGAGAGAGAGGTTAAAAACATTGAATAAGCGCCAAAAACTAATTTACTTTAGATTATTTCGGGAGTGCTTTCGTGAAGTGTTTCATAAGTGCATTGAATCAAATAATATTGAACTACCTCCTACATTGAAGTTTCTTTCTATCGAAAAAGAAAGTTAACATAAAACTTGATACATGTGAATACGAGTAATACATATTATCATTACAATACTACAAACTATCACAGTGGATACCAGTAATTCTTGATTTGTGTCTTAAAAGTATATTTGGTATTTTAAAATAAGCCTATCCATGACATTTTATGACATTCCCTGTAAATATATATATATATATATGAATTTGTGGCATTTATATAGAGTTCGATAAAGTACCTTCCATGTAAGGTAGTTCTACAGAGTTACAGGGCTAAGATATAGAATAGTTGATCGCTTTTATTGGATTCACCTTTTACTTTTAAAGTTATTTACAAATAAAATATTTGATCGCTTCTCCTTCTAAAGAAGTGATCTGTGCTCCGTGTGGTGCTGAATTACGGGAGGAGAAAAAATCTCCTCTTGTCCAATTCTGTTTTATATACAAAATTTTAAATATTCAAACTGGGAAATAATTTTTGAAATATAAATATCTGAATTGGAATATAGAAAATTACAGATAATAACTCTTTCCTGTGGTAGGCATGCACAGTGTTGTCCTGCCACACTGTGTCATCCAATTTTTACTTATTTAAATAATCGCGTCATTCAATATTAATTGATTGAGTCTTCTAAAAATAATTACATTATCTCAGAGTATGTGTAATTATAATTTAAATTTTACTAATTCTAAATTAATATGTCAATCCTATTAATGTCAAGTGTACAAATAATTTTCAGAAATGACAAGGGCAACTCTTGTGATTGCAAGTTTCAATAAATTTAATAATTAATTAAACTCTTTGATTAACTTATTAATTTTGTTAATTCCAAATTTCTTCACTGAAAATTTAGAATTAAACTCTAGAAATCATAGACATTTATTACTCAAAAGAATTTGAATCGTCCATTGATATAATCATTACATATGGATCAACCATCTATAAATAGTTCATTATTAGAGTTAAGTTTATAATTTCTTTTACCTTTATAATTACGTATTTATTTATAAGTACCATTGATTCTCTAATGAACAATATATTTATAATTTACCATAAATGGATCGTTCTTACACATGAACCAACATATTAAAGGAACTATTTATCTCACTTCATTATGAAAGAATCGATTTTATCTTGTAAATTAATATTCTGAGCTATCTACTTTATTGTGCTTCCAAGATATAAGGAATAACATTGATAAGTGTATGAATATGCACTTAAAATGTTCATAATTGCTAAATAAATTGAGTTTTAATTAAATATTTTCGTGGAATTAATATTTTGTGAAAGTATTTTATTTTAATTTAATTTATTTTGTTTTGTAGAAAAATAAGATATTTGGGCCAAAACTATAAAGAGAAAGAGAGCCCATCTAAAGCTCATAAACCCATCAGCCCAATGAAGCCCATCAGTAGCCCAGCCGTCCGCCAGCCGAGCCGAGCCGTGCAAGCTT